AAGAGGCTTCCTTTAGTTCACCCATGGTCCTTCTGAAGTGGGCATCCTGTGTCCTCATCCCCTCCTTGGGGCAAGGTGGGGTGCAGAGCTGGCAGCTCGGGAAGCCGGGCTCGGCCTCTGCGGCTCCCAGCCTCCGGGGTGATGCGCTGACACCAAGACCCTTGTCCTGCCGATGCCGAGCGCTGAGCAAACGGAGCAAGGGGTTCCTCTGGCCCCAGGGCTGGGATCAACACCCAGCACCCCAACACAGAGCTGCAAGAAAATACTCCAGGGATTTCAATGCATGGACCAGGAGGCAGCTGGCAGCGGTGGCCTGCAGGAAGAGGGGGCTGCACGAGAGCTGTTCGGAGCCTGTGTGCCACCTCGTGTGGCTGGAGGCTTGACCATGCTGTGAGCCCCAGCATGGACCACGCGAATCTCTAGCTTTGCAGCCATGCCTCTCCTCCAGCACGGCGCAGGGGAATTGTCTCTGCTCGGGGAGGGAGCAGCTGGAGGATGTGAGCGGGCAAGGGGATGAGCAGGATGCGGGCAAGGCTTTCCTTCCATGTCTTCCCGCTAATGGAAACCAGGAGCTGTGCAACCTCAGAGTGCAGCAGTGCCTTGTGAAAGCAGCATTGCAGAACTGTCTGGGTGTCCTCCAGGCAGTGCGGCCCCTTCGCTGGGATTCCCTGGGAAGATGGATGACGGTGGCAGGGGCCAAGGCATGGAGATGACAGAGTTCTGGCTTCAACAAGGGCTGTGTCTGGCCTAGGTGGGATGCCTTCGCCTCCAAGTGGGAAGCATTAGGTTTGGACTTTGTTCCAAGTGAGTATGTGGTATATGCAGCAGCTCCCTGGACTTCCCACCTCTCTGCCCTGAGTTTTGGTTTTATTTTCTTAAGGACAGTGCAGGGCAGGAGGTCTCCTGCCAACCAAATTCTTGTTTGAATGAGATGTTGACAGCTTGATTGCAAAGTGTTGCTGTGAGGTAGTATTTGCCCTCCCAAGGGGCAAATGTGATGGTGCATCCCAGTGCCAGAGGTCTGTCTCCCGTTGCATTTAGCTGCTGGAGCTCTTTTTCCCCACCTGAGTCTATTCCTGTCTCTCCCTTGCAGTCTCAAACAATGAACTACGTGGGGCAGCTTGCTGAGACCGTCTTCGTCACGGTGAAGGAGCTGTACCGGGGTCTCAACCCTGCCACCCTGACGGGCTGCATCGATGTGGTCGTGGTGAGGCAGCCCGATAACTCCTTCCAGTGCTCCCCATTTCACGTGCGCTTTGGGAAGCTGGGCGTGCTGCGCTCCAGGGAGAAGGTGGTGAGTGGTGCCTGCCCTGGGACTGTGCTTCCTCTCTGGTGTCTCCAGAGCTAGGATCTTCCATAACTTGTGGGTTATGGAACTTTGAGGGGAATGGGAGCCCTGCTGAAAGGGGTGCTTGGTGACCTTTGGAGGGGATGTACCAAATGGAATCTATCCTCTTCCTGGGAGGACTGTGCTTCCCAGGAAGATTGGGAGCAGTCCCTTGCCTCAAAGGCTGGGTGGCTGTCAGTGCTGTGAGCACCCCGACCCGTCCCCTCCCTGGGGACGTGCCTTCCTGCACACCGATGGCGAGTGGGTTCAGATGGACAGGCTGCTTCTGTCCCTTGCCAGGTTGACATTGAAATCAATGGGGAGCCTGTGGACCTGCACATGAAGCTGGGAGACAATGGGGAGGCCTTCTTCGTCCAGGAGTCGGAGGAAAATGAGGTTTGTGAGGAAGAGGTGCTGCTGGTCTGTGTCCTGCTTGTGACCACCTGGAAGTGCAGGCTTGAGGTGGAAGGACCACGTTTGGACTTCTCTTCACCCCCAGGGTGACTCCATTTCCCCTTCTGATGTTTTGTGTGTCTGGAAAGGTTCCTACTCAAAGGACCTTGTAACCAGTGTGGAAGATCTGGACAGTGGAGCACCCTGAAGGAGCATTAGACCAAATATCTGCACCCCAGCCTGTCCTTCCTCCCTGGGCATGGCTGCTGGCCAGCCAGGCAGATATCTCGGAGCTTGGCCTCTTAGGGGATCTTGTGACAGCGATGAGAGTGAGCCAGATGCTGTGGCAGGCTGCCCGCTCTACTGGGAAGCAGGATGAGACTAGCTGTGGCTTCCAGAAGCCTTGGCAGCTCTCTCCCAGTCGGACTTGTGGTTGCTGCTAGCTTGGGCTGACTTTGAGAGCAGGGAGAGGGCCTTAGAGCTGAATGCCATTTGCAGCCATTGTAATTCTGGTCTCGTGGTGCCATCTCCTGCCTGCCTCTCCTTGTCTGAGTTGAAGATGTCTTTAGCTTGTGGCTGGATAACTCTGTGTTTGTGTTTTGGGGTTGTTTTACTCACGTGTTGCACGTATAAAACCTTTCCTTTTGGGCCAAGCCACAAAACCACCCCCAAGCTGAGGGCTCAGCTGCGTTGGTTGTGCTGGTGGCATATGGTGAATAGACAAGAGTCATGAACTACCAGGCTGGAAAAGAGGGTGCTGGAGCTGATGGGCTCTTCCATCCCTGCTGCAGGGCAGCATCCCCTCCCGCCTCTGCACGTCCCCCATCCCCAGGGATGCTGCTCAGCCCTCTCATGGGCAGGAGGCCTCTGGTGCTGAAGCAACCCTGCGCAAGAGGAGGCGACGCAGGAGGAAGCCCAAGCGGAAGGAGGCATCGGACTCCGAGATGGAAGGCTGTGAGGAGACCAAAAGCGAGATGTCCGTGGAGGAGCCGTGCAAGCTGCCAGCCCCGAGGTGAGTGGCTTGGTCCAGAAAGGGTGGTGCGGTGGGTCAAGCCTGTAGGTTCGCTTGATGATGCCCAGTACTACTGAAACGTGGGGATAGTGTTTCCAGTTGGACCCCAGCCTCTTGTGGAGTAGAAAGCCAGTGGAAATGGTGAAGTTGGGTATTGCCAGCTTTCCAGGTGAGGAGGCTGGTGCCTGAGAATAGCATAACTGACCTCTTTCCTCCTTTGCAGTGATTCAGGGCATTTCTCCTTTGCTGATATCCCCAGGGAAGAAACCGGGTCGCTGCAGTCCCCAGAGATTCACCCTTACTCTGACGGGGAGCTGGCTGCTGTGGACAGGTAATGGGCAGAGCCAAGTGATCTGCTTGGCCTTGAGAGCAGGGGATGTGCCTTGTGGCTGGGAAGGTGGTAAGGAAAAGGGATCTGGGGGTGTCAGGAGAGGAGGGTTTTCCTGGCCTGATGTGGTGTGGCTGGAGGAAAGCTCGGAGAAAATGAGGGACACTTCTGACCATGGTTGCAGATGCAAGAAGCCTGTGTGCACCCTCTGCTGCTGAGCTGCTTCTGGACAGGCAGTGGCACAACTTCTGGACAACTGTAGGGTAGATGAGGTCCAACATTCCCTTCTCTTCTTGTAGCCCCACCCTGAGCCATCCATCTTCTCCCAAAAGTGACTCTGAGCTGGAGATCAGGCCACAGGAGAGTTTTGGTTTAGGGGCTGAATCCCATGTGCAGTGGACCTGGGGAAGGCTCCCTCAGGTGAGTCCCTGTTCTTGCTCTTCTCTAGCAGCTGGTGGGAAGGGGGTATCTGAAAGGCCTGCAGAAAGCGTAGGAGGCTGTAGCCAGGCAGCCTTAGAGGACTTGTCCTCTTCTGCCTGATGATTTGGGCAACTTCCTGTCCTCAAACCTGTTCCTCTGCTTTCTTTGAGGTGAATAAATCAGAACGAGTTGAACCAGCCAAGTCTACAACGACCTTTGCTACTGCAGCAACTACTGTCTCTGCGACACTGGTCCCAGTGGATAAGGCAACTCATCTTGTTGCTACCTCTGAAGGTTTGGGAGGAGGCCCAAGCACAGGGGGACATCAGGGTGCACCTTGTTCCTCTGCCATGTCTGTTGTTGAGCCAATGCCTACACCCCGGGATGGGAATGGCCTCCCCAGGCTGAAGGACATCCCCAGTGCTGTGGGGGCAGAGAACTTGTTGGAGGCCACCTCAGCCCCACAAGAGAAACAGGAGGGAGGCGGCAGTGTTATGCCAGAGGTTCAGCCGGATGTGGAGCCCTTTGAGGGAGCTGCTGCTCTGAGGCAGGTGGGCTTGGAGGGCCCTGAGCCCCAGCCGGAAAGCCAGAGGAGACAAGGTGAGTGAATGACTGCTGCTGGAAGCAGTGTTTGAGCCTGGAGATGTGTCTAACTTGGATGAGAGGTTGGGTTGTTCATTCAGTGTAACTCCTTCGTGACTGCCCTGAGTGCTCAAGGTGTGACATGTTTGCTTTGCCCTCTCCATGTGCTCCCAGCTCCTTCCCTTTGAAGAGACATTCCTCAGGTTTCCTCCTCTCAGTGACCACCCAGCTCCCCAGGGAGGCTTTCTTGCCTTACATTTCCTGAAATCCATCCTTGGATGTCTCTGCTTCCGCATGCTTAGAAGATTTCTCAGCAGCGTAGACCATTCGTTAACTTGAAGTGTCTGGCAGCACCTGGCTTGACTTGTGTCTTCACCCTGAGCATGCCAAGCCAGGTGGAAAATTGCACAGAGCATGTGCAAAATTGCAAAACATGTGTATGTCTCTCTTGACAGTGTATTTGAAGACTCTTGTGTTACCTGTCCTAACCAACCTTGCTCTCCCAGCCAGCATAAATTCAGAACAAAGTTGTCTCCCTGAAGAAGAGATGCTTGGGATTCCTCATTGTACAAAGAGGGAGATCACAAAATGTTATCTTGCATGGTGCTAACTTCAAGTGGTGCCTTCAGACTGTCATAGCAGGACTTTGGCCTGTCCTTTGTGTCCTTTTGGCAAGTGGTCTTATGCCAGTGCAGGTATCTTGAGGAACTTCTGTTGCCATTGATTTAAAGCAGCTTTTCAAGCAGGAAAAGAGATGCCCTCTTTATATCATATACAAATATAATAGAGGAAAATGCTGTTGGTGCTCTTGACTAGATGCTGAGATGGTTGGGAAGGTGATTCAGCTAAGCTCTCTCCCTTCTGTCTATGCATTGAGGATCCGTCAAAAGACACCCTCACTTGGGTCCCAGTGACGTTTACCTGGAAGACCTCTCCAACCTGGATGAGGAGCAGGTGGCTCTCTATTTCCCCAGAAGGTATGGGTTGCCCCAGCTGGCCAAGCTCAGACCTTCTTGAGCAGCTCCCTTACAGCAAAGGATGGAGACATGTCTAAAACTATTGCCTGATGTTACCACTGTTTCTTCTCTTGCTGGTAGTGACACGGAGCAGAGTTCAAAGCCTGTGGCAGACTCCAGCACCCCTCTGTGTGTCCAGCTGCCGTCTGACTTGCGTGCTGACAGCCCCATGGACTCCGACTCAGATGTGGTGCCCGCAATCGCCCTGTCGCTGTGCGGAGGCCTGGCAGGCAGCAGGCAGATCTCTCGCGGTAGGTAGGAGGGGAGGGGGAATCTGCTGTCCTGAAATCCATTATGTACACCAGCGGCATGACATAGCCTCTGTCCTATCAGAGAAGTTCATGGAGCACATGGTCTCCTACGAGCAGTTTGCTGAGAATCCGGGACTCATCGATGATCCGAACCTGGTGATACTGATCAACAAAAAGTGAGTGGTCTGCTCATCCTGCTGCTTTATCCCAAGATGACCAGTGTGGCCCCTTTGTCCCTACAGAAACACTCCTGTAGGAGTATGACTCCATCCCAGACAATGGTTATACCACAGTAGCTGTGGGAGGGGACCTTCGAGCCGTGGTGCAGGATGGTGATCTGGAAACAGCCCTCTCTCCAGGGTTGCTAATGTTCCCATCCCTCTTGCTTCTTCTAGGTATTACAATTGGGCAGTGGCTGCTCCGATGGTCCTGTCCCTGCAGGCTTTTCAGAGGAACATTCCTGAGGTCAGTGGCACAACACATTTACTGGCCGTGCTTCTTGGCAGGGCTTGCAGCCCCACTGCACTCTTCAAGAGGCCAAGTTGCCTATCTAGGGTTGTGGCAGTCTGGGGTAGAGCTGAACATCACTCCAGCCCACAAACCCTGAAGTCTGTCCTTTCCCCAAGAGGGTATCTCAGGGTGGCTTTTTGATACCTGGAGAGCAGAGACTTCCTTATCAAAAATCTCCTCTTCTGATGGTTGTATCTCTGCAAGGCTGGCCAGAGCCAGGGGCCCTGGTGGTCTGGAGGATTTGGGACTTCATGAGCCTGCTCCAGGGCTCTGTGGATCTGGCTGGGATTGCATGGAATAAAGCATCCAGATCTCTTTTCTTCAAGCTGCATGAAGGGAACAAATCATTGTACCCTTCACCCCAAAACCGTTTTGGCTCACAATGTGGCAGGAGTCACATCTTATCCTGTGACTTTGCAAAGGAAACCCTACCTGTATAAGGGTCTCTTTAGCCTGTTGGCAAGCTGAGCCTCCCTGGGCTGAGGACTGACTTCATCCCACGTTCACAGAGCACCATCAACCGACTGGTGAAGGAGAAGATGCCCAAGAAAGGCAGTAGGTGGTGGTTCTCCTGGAGGAGGAGAGAATTCCCAGCAGAGGAGGTGATTGCAGTGGTGGCTGTGACAACCGTGTCCCCAGGGCACAGGAGTCATTCTGGTGGCTGGCAGGGGTTGCGGGTAGGAGAACAGCAGCATCCTGGGGATGGCAAGAATTACAAGAATGGCCAGAGGGACCTGGTGGCAAGTTGACTTCTGCAGGCTGTTGCCATCCCCTCAGGTCTGTTAATGCCCGAGCAGTGTTACTAATAACTGGTAATGTGGTAATACAGGAAAAGTGGACCTTGTCCCCCTCGTGCTGCAGCCCAGGCACCATGTGTGCTTGCTGGTCTCCCTGCCCCATCACAACACCAGGTTGTGGTCCCTCCTCCATGGGGCACAATCCTCATGAAGGTGGGGGGGGGTGCATTGCCACCTCTTTTCTGGTATCCAAGAGGCAGAAAAGCAAAGCAGCCCCTGCTCCTGCCCTTGGCACTGCAGTGCTGATGACACCACTCTCTGCCTGCAGCAGTCGAGGCCGGGGAAAGCCAATGTGGGGACACTACAGCATGACTCTGCTCAGCAGGGGTGAGTGCCTCCCTCCCAGACTGCCTTTAGGAGTCTGTGCATGCTCTTGAGCTCTTCTCCTATATGACTAGTTATTCCCAAGTTTACCTAATGTATGAGGGCAGAAAGCTCTGTTAAAGCTCTGGCTGACCTCAGTCCAGCCAAGCACCTCTGTGGCTGTTTTCTGGTGGGTCGGTTGTCCTGGGTCCCCTCCAGATATCCCCTGGTGCTCATGGGGAAAGCTGTGGTGTGCAGAGTAAAGCCAGTGTGCTCTTCCCTCCCTTGTGTAGGGAGGAGGAGGTGTCATTCAGTGACGATGAGCCTCTGCACCCTGAGGATGTGTTGGCAGTGGATGCCCCTGCACAGAAATCTCAGCCAACCTACAAGAAATCGCTACGACTCTCCTCTGAACAAATTGTATGTACTTCACTCCTCCTTCACTGTCTGCTTGTGTGCGTAGGGGCGAGACAACCCTTAAACAGGGATCTCTCTACGCCTGACCTCATGGTTCTATAGGGCATCTAAGTATTTTGCCCTGGGTGGCCACCCTGTAGAGGCTTGGGGTCTCTGGTCTGGCCTGTGGTAAGCCTTGGACTGGTATGAATTGGTACTGGTGTACCACTCCTGTTCCCCCTCTACCACAGGAAAGGCTGAATCTGCAGGATGGCCCCAACGAGGTGGCATTCAGTGTGACAACTCAGTACCAGGGCACGTGCCGCTGTGAGGCCACAATCTACCTGTGGAACTGGGATGACAAGGTGGTGATCTCGGACATCGACGGCACTATCACGAAGTAAAGGGCCTTTCACCCACCCCATAATGCTGCTCCCCCTGCCCCATTAGGGGAAAAAGTCCTTTCAAGGCTTGCATAAGCACCCAGAAGAGACCACAAACCACATCGTCTTCTGGATACCTGCCAGGCTGGGTCAGCCTAACCTGGTCTCCTTTCCTTCTAGGTCTGATGCTCTTGGGCACATCTTGCCTCATCTGGGAAAAGACTGGACTCATCATGGGATTGCTAAGCTCTTCCACAAAATCCACCTGTAGGTGTTGGATCAACTGAGGCCAAGGGGAAGTGGGAGGATGATGGAGGAGAAGATGAGTGGGAGCCAGTCAGGGCTCCTTAATCACAGATGCTGGTCAAAATAGCCTAATTCTCTGCCGTCCGTGATGGTTGATGCTTGCTGTACCGCCTAGATGTTGTTGGCCTTCAGCTCCGGCCCTGGCACCCTGTGGCCACTAAGAGGCACTGTGGGCTCGCGGATGGCTCGTCCCGGCCCCGAGGGGGCGGACACGGGGCTCCCACTCCCGCGGGGCTGCGGGTGCGGGGCTGTGGCTGCCCTCGCTGACACCTCGGCTGTCTCTTGCCACCTTCGATCCCGCAAGAGCACCATGCCCCGCTTCCCCCCCCAGCCGTGCCGGCCGCCTGGGGGGCTGCGGGGAATGTCCCCAACCACACAGAGCCTGCATGGTCTGATAAAGGTGCTGGCCTGGAGGTCCCATCCGGCTGCACGGGTACCAAGCAGGAAAGGGTGCTTTGCAGCCAGGATGAGTGTGCGGCTGCTGGGAAGGGCCTGGAGGGTGGTACAGGGTCCCCCTCCAGTGCTGCTTCCCAGCAGTGGGGCAGATGGGGATCTGGTTTAGCCTGGGTCTTCTCTGGGCAAGTGAGTCTCATTGTTTGTGGAGCCACCTTGCTTGCTGAAGGTGTGAACAGACTTTGGGTGTAGGCCAGGTATTCAGTCTCATCCCCCTTCCTCCTCGGAGCAGGAGTGGGAGGACACCTTGCCCAGGGCACAGCTTGGAGGGGTTCCCTGTGCTCTCTCTAGGAATGGCTACAAGTTCCTCTACTGCTCAGCCAGAGCGATTGGCATGGCACACATCACCAAAGGCTACCTCAAATGGGTCAATGAGCAAGGCTGTGCCCTCCCCAAGGGCCCCATCCTGCTCGCCCCCAGCAGCCTCTTTTCTGCCTTCCACAGGTACTGTGTCCTCTCCTCTTTCCCAGCCCTGTACCTCCTGTGTCCCTGGGGACAGCACCCACCTTCCTCAGCCAAATGCTGAGGGATGTCACAGCTTTAAACTTGTTCTGGCCTCCTTGGTGCAGGATGCCTTTCATGGGAGGGCAGGCAGTTCTCCTGTTGCCTCGCTGGAGCTTCATGGTGAAGCCCCTGCAATGGACAAAATTACTTTTGCCCTTCAAATCACTTCTGAAGATAGTCCTGGCTGGCTGATGCCACTACCTTCTGATCTGTACGTGTGTCTTGTGCTGCAGGGAGGTGATCGAGAAGAAGCCAGAGGTGTTCAAGATCGCCTGCTTGATGGACATCAAAAACCTGTTTGCCACAAAGCTGCCCTTCTATGCAGCTTTTGGCAACCGAGCAAATGTGAGTGGGTGTTCTGGGGAGGAGGGAGGGCTCAGGCTGGGGCAGTGGTGGTGCCGCCTTCCTGCAGCTCTCACACCTTGCTGGCCTTCCTCGGGCAGGACGTCTATGCTTACAAGCAAGTGGGCCTGCCAGAGAGCCGCATATTCACGGTCAACCCCAAGGGAGAGCTGATCCAGGAGCTCATGAAGAACCACAAGTCAACGTAAGCAACCTGCTTGTTCCTTGGCACCTTTGGGTTAACCTGGCTTTAACCCAGAGAAGCATTTCATGGGGTAGAAAAGCAAACAAAACCCCAATGACCCTAATGCAACTTCTTCCTTACCCCCATAGGTATGAGCGGCTGTCGGAGGTGGTGGAGCTGATTTTCCCTCCCCTGGGGCACAGTGGGCACGTCGCTCTGGTGTGTCCAGAGTTCAGCCACTTTGCCTACTGGAGACCTCCGCTGCCCGCTGTTGACTTGGATGTCTTCTCCTGACCCTATTACCTGTGGATACCTGACCCAGGGCCCTCCTGTGTGTCCTCTGCCAGGACTGGATGCTCCAGATGCATCTCCTCCTCCCTGTTTGCTGCTCTGGCATTTTGCACTTCTAATACGGGTCATGTTCTGCACTAGAAATACCCCTTCTCAGGGGACCAAAGAGGGGAGAGAGGGAGCTCTGACTCTACAAAAACTCCATTCCTGTAAGCTGGATCTCTTCTTAATGTTCTTAACACCTTTTTTTAAAGGTGGTGGTGGTGGGTCACTGTCACTTATTGATGAGCCTCTGGCATAGCTATTGCTACCTCCAGTATGACCAGTGTTCCCAGACAGCCCAGCTACCTGCAGCTTGGTAGGTGATGCAGTGAAGCTGTCCTGTGGCTTAACAACTCGTTAAGGTGGATGGAAGCTGTTGGGGTTTTGAGTGTTCTTCACTATTAGCAATAATAAATAGTGCCTTAATCCAGGCTGCCTCTTGTCTGCTGTAGCCCTGGGCCTGGAAGTGTCCTTCTACAAACATGGCTGGGTTTATCCCGCTGAAGTGTCCTGCTAAGGGGGTCTTGGTGGAGATGGGGGCAGGACCTGCAGCTTCTGGGGCCTGTGGATGCCTGCACTAAAAAAGGACTTTTTTTCTCATCTCTTACTTTCAGGTAATGCTGCAAAACTGACTTGATACAGGCAGCAAAGCCTGGCTTTATGGGTGTGTGCATGGGGCTGAATCTCTCCTGTGCCGGCAGCCTGTCAGAGTCTTGGGCCAGGGCAGGAGCTTAGTCCTGTGGCTCTCTGGGAGCGTTGAAGGAAAGCTCAGCTGCCCTGGAGTGGGGTTGGTGCCCCTGCTCTGGGAGCTCTTAGCTGTAATTGCATAAAGTAAAAGGGCCAGGGCCACTGCTGGCTCCTTCCTCCAGTCCGGCCCCCAGCTTCTCCTTCCCTGACCGCTGTCTGTGAGTGTAAATCATCTCTTTCTAGCCTGCCTGCCAGGAGCGTTGTGTTCAAACTCTAGCTCCGGGTGTTACGCTGCTTTTCCTGAAGCCACACAAGTCATTTTGATCCTGGAAACCTCAGCAAGAAATACTTTATTTTTTTTTTTTCCTTTCCCATACAAACAGTCTTTCAGCTTTTAAAATCTGAACAAATGTACAGGGTTTTAAAAACAATAAACCACAAGCTCAGTTGTCAACTGCCTTGGAAAGCTGCCTGTGCAAGGACAACCCT